CGAGTGGAGCATATCCTGCCTCTAACCTATGCTACGGATATGTTAACTTTTGTATGTTTTTATGTTAACGTCTACTGTTTTAATAGATGATTTTAATTGTTATTAAAAATTTTACTATGATGTTTGTAAAGTGGTTTTATCTTGTAAGCTGCCTTGGGTCCCTCTCTGGAGAAAGGCAGCATAGAAATGAAATGAAATATCTTTGAAAAAGACTCAAATATAAAGGTGTGCCATGATTGATATTTAGGAAAAGATCAGATATGAACTGGCATGACAAAAAAGAGACGCTCAGATATATGGAAACTAATGGTTAAAGTAAAGAATGTATGAACAAGATAATAGACGGTTTGTAGGAAGAATATTGATAGCTATTGGCTTAACAAGATCTTTGAACTTACTTAATATATATCATGAAAGATGTATATGTAAGTGTATGTTTGTGTGTATGTTTATGTGTATCTGTTATAATTTGAAATTAAAAATATATCTTTAAAAAATGAAATAAATATGTTTCTGCTCCAGTATATGTGCAAATCTGCATCTTTCTGCTTTCAGCAAGATAACTTTTCAACCAAATTCAGACAGCAGCAACATCCTTTCTATCCCAAAATGATACTGGGCATTATATGATAGGCAATACTACACAAATAAGCACACAAGAGTACACATATCAATCATCACTGAATAAAATACTCTACTGGACAATGTAAGCGCAATCTTTATGCTTGCCCACCTTATAATTCTCTTCTGATGTAAAACTGCAAGCAGTACTACTTATTTTAATTAGTTTTTCATCTCCTATAGATGGCCACTGAAATGAACTAGCTGAAGTATCATCTAGCTGAAGCATCAGAGTTGTTCTGACTGTACTTCTCTTTTAACATTTGATTCAACATCAAGCTTTTAACAGATACTGGAATATGTTGTTTTTTGGCAGCACCACATACAGAAGTTTTTTCCTGTATTTTTTTTCCCTCCTGAAACAAGAACTGTGTCAACGTGAGGCTTAAAATATTCAAATGCTGGATGATAGACTATAAATTCCCTTAATGATTGTTATATAACTCCTAAATTATATAAACATGTTTAACATATTGTTTGCTGAAGGGACCTCTTGTGTTCTGTCGCCTACTACATTTATTTCTTTGATTTAAACTTTAAGAACACTTAATCCAGAACATTTCTAGGCCCAGGCACTGTATATGCCATTCCTTGCTTATGTTAGAAAACAGGATTCTTATAATTTCAACCCATTTCATTTGAATATGATTGTGTAGGGTTTTTTTTAAAAAAAACAACTTTTATTAAAATGTTTTGGATACAGACAAACTTTCTCTGCAAACATGTTTCACTTTTCCAGGAATGGGAAGTCAAAACATTTTGCCAACAGAATGACATACTTCTCCCAATTTTCCAATCTGCAATCCAATTTCTAAAGAATATATTAAACTTTATATCCATACACTGTGAGGAGTTAGACCTGTCTGATGACAATATACATGGCAAGCAGGGAAGGGGACGACGAAACAGGTCAGAGCTATTCACGACTGCATTCTCCAGTGGTTGGGACACCACTTTCATAGAAAGCTGTGCTTCTTCTAGGCATCAATCCTTTAGCTCTGTTCACTGGGTCTTCTTTTTTAAAGCATGGAATCAGAGAATGCCACTTCTGATAAAAGTCACCAGGAGTCATATTATTTCAAGAGGAACTATCCATTCTGAATCCCTTTACTAAATGGGTAAAATATAGCCAAATGGAGAAAATTAGATGCTCTGAACTGAAGAGACTACATTATATGCATCTGATTAACAGTATTTGTGGGGCTACTGTAGACTATTGTGT